TTTTTTTTTTTTTTTTTTTTGTGTGTGTGTGTGATTGTTGTGTTCTCTACGTTTAGAGATAATATTATATTATAGAGATACATTAACAAAATTGTCTAGGAATGTTGTTGTTGATAAGTGGATATATTGTTTTAGATAAATAAGGATATTGAGTTAGGTGATCATGATGTGCCAAATATATGATATTAAAGAGGATATTCATGTTGAGATCTTTGCTAGCCATTAGAGATTACCTGCATAAAGTCTTATTGCATGATGATGGGCAACGAGACTAGCATGGACCAATGGAAGGATGTTAGCTCGACTTGACTGAGATGATGTAAATGAGTTAATTAGAAGTAGTCGATTCGGCTTAACCGAGATGACATTAGTGGAGAAAAGGTTTTTAAAATCGGTTATTTTTAACTTTTAAAATCGGTTCCGTAACTGATTTTAAAATAGTCGATTTTAAAAGTTAGACTTTTAAAAATCGGTTAAATAACCGATTTTAAAAGTTAACTTTTAAGATCGGTTGTTTTATAACCGGTCTTAAAAGTCCTGGCTCTAAAAAAAACTTAAACTGGAACGGGCCGTTCCAAAACTGGAACGGGTTGTTCCAGGTTGTTAAAAAGACTACTTGAAGAACGGACATCAGAACAACCCGTTCTCTTTTCAGTACGGGACGTTCTCCATGAAAAAGGGGTCGTCTCCTTGTAGAACGGGTCGTTCCAGATTCAAAATTTACCCAAAATAAACATACAACAAAAATAAAGACAAGAGAAGAGCATGAGAAAATGAAAAGAGACACAAGAAGAGTATGAGAAGACGAAAACGAAAACGAAAACGAAAACGACAAAGAAATTTACCTTATTGGAGACTTTAAAAAATGAGAGCGCGAGAGAGTAAAAAAAGGAAATGAGGGAAAAATTAAAGAGAATGCGAATGAAGAAAAATATAAAAGGTTTCTGACGATACTTTTAAAATCAGTTATTTAAAAACCGATTTTGTATACTACATACAAAATCGGTTCTGAAATAACCGATTTTAAAAGTAGCACTTTTAAAATCAGTCATTAAATAACCGATCTTAAAAGTACTTTTAAGATCGATTATTTTATGACCGATCTTAAAAGTTATGTCTAATACAGCTTTTAAGATCGGTTCTTTGTAACCGATCTTAAAAGTTGTGTCAGACATACCTTTTAAGATCGGTCATAAAATAACCAATCTTAAAAGTACTTTTAAGATCGGTTAAATTTTAATTGATCTTAAAAGTATTTATATTATTTACAAAATTACTACCGTGTCACTTTTAAAATCAGTTACCTTGTAACCGATCTTAAAACTTCGATTTTAAATCCAATTTTGCACCAGTGTGGGTAACACAAAAATTAAATAAAATAAAGTAGTTAAATTAATGAAATAAAAAAATTAAATATTAATTCAATTAAACAAAGAAATACACTTATTTATCAAATGACTACACATATGGAGTAAAAACATATTAATTTGATTAGAAATAAAAATTGATAATACTATTATTATAAAATTAATAGAGTAAATAACATTTCTCTCTCGGGATATTTAAATATCATCCTGTCTTTCTTTCTTATATTAAAATGTATAATTTAGTCTTTTAACTTAACAATTTTAAAAGTAATCTTTCTTCCTCTCATAGATATGTGTACATATCACTATGTTCTCCTCTCTTATGTTGAAATATAAAATAATGGGAAAACAATGAAAAACATGCAAAATTATTGGTTGATTGAAATTGTGAGAAGCATTATAAAAATGAGTATCCTTTGTAGATTGAGCTTTATATACTACTCCACACTAATAATTACGATTAACAAGAAAAGAAAAAATTGATAAAGAAAATTGTGTAGCAGTAGCAGATTAGTTAATTATTTAGTTTCCGCGTTGGAAGGCAAAGGAAAAGGTCACAGCAGGGGCAGGGGTTGTCTATTTTTTCAAAGGAATGTGTAAAAATAGTGAAGCCTTAACCGTTGGACTTTCTTGCGAGTCTTCTCTGACTCCTTGTTAGTTGTTATTGATCGATCCCAGCTTGCCAAATTTGGCAGATATTGTTTACTCAACGTGTAGGCCCATTCTCCGCCAAATGTTTGCGCGTTACGCTCAGGTCAAAACTCAAAACTCAAAACTCAAAACTATACACTCTTCAGATCAAACTTTCCAAGTGCCTCCTCACCAATCAACTATACCTAGCTGCCCTCCACATATTCACACAACAATTGGCCATCCTTGTAATTAAATAAATAAATATATGCACCCAACTCTACGCTACCTTTTTCTCTATTACATACTCCCTCTAACATTTCTATACTCTATATGCTTTTACTTAATTAACTACGATTACAGTTTCATCAGCATTCTTATAAATTATTTCAATTACCTCGCAGCATCGACAATTATGACTTTGTGTCTCTCATTTAAAACAAATTCAGATTTCTCTTTTCATCTTTCCATTGTTCTTTTTCTCCTGTCTGCCATCCTTTAATTTCAAACAGTTAGGCATCAATGGGAAGCCAACTCTTTTACCAAACGTTTTCTTTGGGTTTTCAGACCCCCTTTTTATTATTTTTCTTCTCAGTATTCGCTGGCTTCCACTTTAATTTCTTTTCAACACACTATCCCTTAAAATAGTTTATTAGATTGTGACAGGCGTCATACATATAATTAATTATCAAGATTTCATTGTGTTGCGACTTTCCTTCTTTTTATTATTATTTTACTGTCTAGCTTCATCACTTGTTCATTTACAGCAATGGTAAGTTATTTTAAATTAATTAAACCATCATTTGCATAAACACTAATAAGATATATGCGCATTTGAATAAATTCTAGAAGGCAGCTATTCATTCAACAAGAGAATCATGTATATCTTTTTGAGAAGAAGGTAAACAATACGAAAATATTAGACAAGAATATGAATAATCTGACGTATTAATAATTTATTGAAAACGAAACTTTTATACCTCATTCTTGCTTTGATTAGTTTCATACGTAGACAGGCATATAGTCATATATACTAGTTTCAAAAATAACTATTTGGTTGTTTTTTGTGCTAACCGGCCTTTTGAAAAATGGAACTCCTCACTCTCTCCCTCCCTCCCTATATTCTTTTAGATTTATTTTATACGCACTTTTTTTTTAGTTTCCTTTTGAAATTAATATACATTCTTTGATCTTATTCGTCAAAGAAATGTATATTCGTATGAGTTTAATATACATGCATTTTCCGTATAATAATTTTATCAATATTAAAATAATATTTGATTAGTAAAAATTACATCTCAAGTACACAAAATGGTTATTGATTATCAATAAGGATGGATCTATGTAGTAAATTATGAGGGCAATTACCCCCACTAAGTTTTCTTTTTATTTTTTTATTTAAATGTATTTAATAATAAGTCTGTCCCCACAAAAAAATATTATCCTTATAAAATAATTTTTTTTAATGAGTGCTGAAAATTATAATAGATAAAAATAAGAATAAATTAGTACAAATTTTATTATTTTTATCCTAATTTTTACCATTTCATTCTTAATCTATAATACTACACAAATCACATAAAATTATAAATTCATGTTTTAATACAATATATCAAATAAAAAAAGAGAAATTATCGATTGATTTGTTAAACAATATTTTTAATTTATAGAAAATAAGGTATTTAATTTTTTTTTATGAATATGTATTTTTAAAAATTTATTATATTTTTATATTATAAAAATATTACAATTTTATTTTTGCTCCCACGAATTTTTTTTCTTCTAAATCCATCACTGATTATTAATCTTGAAATAATGCATGAACTATATATGTACATAAAAAATAAAAATAAAAAGTATAATAGTTTTAGGTTCCGTATAAATTTTAAAATAATTGTTATAAAAAATCAACATATCTATTATACATATATTAACTTGAGATTGGATATTAATTTAAAAATATTTTACATTATCAAGTGTATTTGAGTTAAATTCATTTAGTAAACATTTTTATTTTCGTTGTTTGAACGAGAAATAGCTAGTACTAATAACACTTTGTTTAACATATTTGTAATATATTTTCAATAAATCAATGAATTTTCATAAGAATTATTAAATAGAGAATAGGATTAAAATATTTAATGAGAGATATATGAAAATCGCCATTTAATTGAAAATGTGTCATTATGAATCAATAATCATGGGTTAATATATTTTTCTTAATTTATTCGTTGTAGAGAATTGCATGTGCATGTTAGTAACACTGAAATAGAAGAAGACAAAAGATCCGGTAGTGTCCCCCAATTAATGAAATCACCACCTACTGCACACTTAGGAAATACGAATACATAATTTGGAAAAATCCTAGTGGGAAATCCGATGGCTACAATTTCCAAGACGCGTGTCTCATGTAATTGGATACGTATACTATTGACAAAGTCTACACAGGTTGACTATTCCATTAATCTACTTGTACAATTAATTCTTAAGTCTCTTTACTTTACGTCCCAGTCAACGTTCGGCAGCAATAGAACATGTAAATACATAATCAGAGGTTAAAAAGTTGAGTCCCTCGCCTATAAATTCAATCTTGCGAACCCATACTTTCCAAATCATTAACACCATAACAACCAACATGGCTTCCAACCTTTGTTACTCTCTCTCCATATTTCTCATTCTTCTAATAACAGCTTCCGCAGACAGTGGTCAAAACCTCAGCACCCCTGTCTCACCCGGAACGGCGTGCAAATCCACGCCAGACCCCTCCTTTTGCAAATCCGTTCTCCCTCCCCAAAACGACAACGTTTACGACTACGGTCGTTTCTCCGTCAAAAAGTCACTATCACAGGCGCGCAAGTTCTTGAACCTAGTCGACAAATATCTCCAACGTGCCTCTTCTCTCTCCGCCGCCGCCACACGCGCGCTTCAAGATTGCCGCACGCTCGGGGAACTCAACTTCGATTTCCTCTCAACCTCCTTCCAAACCGTGAACAAGACAACCAGGTTTCTCCCTAGTTTCCAAGCCCAGGACATTCAAACGTTGCTCAGTGCCATTCTCACCAACCAACAAACATGCTTGGACGGTCTCAAAGACACTGCTTCCGCTTGGAGCGTCAGGAACGGCCTCACTGTCCCACTCTCCAACGACACCAAACTCTACACTGTCTCTCTCGCGCTCTTCACCAAGGCTTGGGTTCCCAAAACCAAACCCAAGCCCAACGCAATGCTGCACCACGCTAAACTTATTGGGTTTCGAAACGGCCGTTTGCCGCTTAAGATGTCCACCAGAACGCGCGCCATCTACGAGTCCGTCAGTAGGAGGAAGCTGCTTCAGGCCTCGGTGGGTGGTGAGGTTAATGTCAGTGATATTGTGACGGTGAGCCAAGATGGAAGTGGGAACTTCACCACCATCAGTGACGCCATTGCTGCGGCACCTAACAAATCTGTCTCCACCGATGGCTACTTTCTTATCTATGTTACTGCCGGTGTGTACCAGGAAAATGTGTCCATTGATAAGAAGAAGACGTACTTGATGATGGTCGGGGACGGTATCAACAAGACCATTATCACAGGCAATCGCAGTGTCGTTGATGGCTGGACAACCTTCAGCTCTGCAACGTTGGGTAATAATGAAGCTTTCATAACTTTTACTATAATTAATTATGATTTCAGAAAGGAAAATAAAAGAAAACACTTTATAACGTAACATTTATTCTAACATATTAGAAACCATTTGATTTTTTTTTTAATAATATATATTTGCCAAAAATAATGCTCGTGTTTGAAAAACAATGCGTTACTAGCCTTTCTCTTATAATTTTATTTTAACCAATTTGACTTTTTTGTCGGAAACTTCTTTGCCGTAAACTTTGATCTAAAAATTGAAGCTTAATCAACTCTCGTCAATTTCTTGACGAAAAAGCGACATTTGAGAAAAAATAAACTAAATCATACATTTCATTTTCATTGAAGGCTAGATATAAGAAAAAAATAATAAGGATATAAGTCATTTCAATTTGTATATCATTTTTTTCTTGCATGCATGGCTAATTGAAAAATATGCATGTAGTTAGTCTTTATACATGGACGATTCTTATTTTAAAATAGTGTTTATCCATAATGCACACTCAAATATCATTGACTTTTTGTGATCGAGTACTGTGCAATATCTAATAAGTATTTGACGAATGTTGCAGCTGTGGTTGGGCAAGGATTCGTGGGTGTGAACATGACCATCCGCAACACCGCGGGAGCCGTGAAGCACCAAGCGGTGGCACTCCGAAACGGAGCAGATTTATCGACGTTCTACAGTTGCAGCTTCGAGGGGTACCAAGACACGCTGTACGTACACTCGATGAGACAGTTCTACAGGGAATGCGACATCTACGGCACGGTAGATTTCATATTCGGAAACGCCAAGGTGGTGTTCCAAAGTTGCAACATGTACCCTCGTCTCCCCATGAGTGGTCAATTCAACGCCATCACCGCACAAGGAAGAACGGACCCAAACCAAGACACGGGAATTTCCATCCACAACTGTACCGTGAGAGCTGCCGATGACTTGGCAGCTAGCAACGGCGTTTCAACGTATTTGGGGAGGCCGTGGAAGGAGTATTCAAGAACGGTTTTTATGCAGAGTTTTATGGACAGTGTGATAAACGGTGCGGGGTGGCGTGAATGGGACGGTGATTTTGCGTTGAGCACTTTGTACTATGCAGAGTTCGGTAACAGTGGGGCAGGGTCCAGCACCGCCAACAGAGTGACGTGGCCTGGTTATCACGTGATTAATGCCACGGATGCAGCCAACTTTACTGTGTCCAGTTTTTTGCTTGGAGATGATTGGTTACCGCAGACGGGAGTCACTTACACTGATAATTTGTTATAGAAAACTTACTTGATTGTCATGAATTTTGCTATTTTTTCTATTCTTTAAACAATAAGTTGCCCACCGCCTCTAGTACTAATTAATACTTCATCCTGCCAAATGTTCACACCATGTTACTTCATTCAAAATTATTGTGATTTTGTTATAAAGCTAATAATACTACAATGATTTATGTCCCATTGAAAGCTATAAAAATTGTTGTATTATTATATGTGTAAAAGAATTCGAATTTAATCGAGTGAAATAAAATAAGATATTTTTTATTTATCTCTTTAGAGTAAAAAAAAATGTAAGTAAATTTATGCATATATATTTAGTTCAAAAAATTTCATGTCTTTTAAATTGGTCACTATTTCTCATAAATATTTTTGGAAGTTGCTATTATATCTTCAAAAATTGAAGTATTTTGATATCTTCTTTACCGTATATCAATAAAATAAATATATATTTATTTAATAAAGTCACATCAACATTTTAAATATTTTTATTTTTTATTTCAAATTTTATATTATTTATGTTTAACTTCTTGTTTATAATGTTTTAAAATAAAAATGATAATTATCAATTTAAAATTTTTGTATTTTTTGAGAGTGTGATTTTCCGATCAAAAGTGTTGTACGTGATTTTTCAATTAAAGATATTTTATGCAATTTTTCGATCAAAGGTGTTTTACATTAAAATCGTCGTACAATTATTTATGACCAAGACTTGAACACACACATTAAGCTATATGTAAGCTCTTGAACCACATAACCATTGCTCCTTTAAATAAATATGTTAAACTATTTTCTTTTTACTTGTGTTGGAGATCTCATATCAAGTATGAATAAAATTATAATAGTCCATATAAGTAGGGAGAAATTTTTACCTTACAAATCAATTTTATAGTATTAAGTTAAGTTTTATTCCACTTTCTTAAGATGGTATCATATCGTATTAAAATCTACATTCTAGCAATTATTGATTGTTGTTAGAGTTATTGGGTCACTATTAGATCACTTGTAGAGGTCCAGTTCTACAAACTTCACAAATAATATGTCCAACCATCAGCATGGGGAGGGTATTAAAGATCTCACATCGACTAGAATAAAATCATAATAATATATATAAGTGACAGCTGACGATTAAACACTGCCACAAATTGTATTACTGGCAGATATTTTTTAGAAAATTCAATCTCTTTCTGGCGGTTTGAAACCGCCACAAAATGCATTTTGGTTTGCTTGTTTGACATTTTCTGGCGGTCGAAAACCGCCACAAAATTACAGCTCTATTTGACTTGTTCGTCATTTTTCGACGATTTTAAACCCCCACAAAATTCATTTTAATTCTGCCAATTCAAAGTTTCACAATTTTAAAACCTCCACAAAATTATTATTATTTTTACTTGTTTACATTTTCTGGTGGTTTTAGATTTGCCAACAAATATATTTTTTATGTCTCAAAAAATACACTTTATTTTACGGTAATTTTTTATTTTTAAAATATATTTGGCATTATTTTAAAAGCGCATTTTTATTATAAATTGACAAATAATATTCTGTATATTTTAGGCATTTATCAAATTATTATTTAAAATTATCACTAACCATATTAATCATTAAAAATTAATAATGACTATATTATATTGTTATTTAATTCAAGTAATTTATAAATAAAAAATTTATTTGTCGAATTCTAGGATCACTTTATAATTATAATAATATTTATGTGTTTTGTATGTTTCTTGTTCAAATATAATTACATAAAGATATATTAAATTAACAACTTTTAATATTATTAAAAAAAATCAAGACAACATCTAGCCATAGGTTTAGCATGATATATTTTTTATTATTAAAACATTAACACCCATCAATTCTAAAACATATCCAACATATTAAGTAACTCAAAATCAAATTCACGATCAATATGCTCAAAAGTAAAATATGCAAATTGTCTCAAAATTAATATTTCTTCAAATATAAAAACATAGATTCAAATTCATGAGTTCATCATATCTATAAAAAAAAAAAAAAACAATAATAATGTCAAACTCCATGAACATTACTATCTAATGAAGATCCTCCTTGTGGTGTTGGCATGTCATGTCCACTCCCTTCATCCTATAAAATACAAATTATTTATGTTATCCTTATTAATAAAATATGCACAAAATATTAAACTTCAATTAAGTATTAATATAATTTAATTTAGTGCAAAATATAAAACACATACCGCTATATTATTACTACCACTACCAAACATAGCCTCTAACTCGGTAGGAATATGTCCTTCCTTCATTTGTATGTAAGCAAGCATGACATTTTTTAATGTCTTGACATTTTCTTGAGAAGTTGCCAATTCACCCTTCAAACTAATTACTTCCTTTTTTAGTTGAGAATTTTCAGTGGAATCAAAATTTGAAGAACTGCACCCTACACCACTAAATCTTGTGGATGATTGAAATGCCACACTATGTAGACCTCCTAATCCCAAGCAACGTATACGTCCAGCATGATCCTTTCCCAACACTTTACTAAGACTATCATTAGTTGAAATTTCATTAGAGTTGTCACTTTGACTCATTTCTGTTGGCATTTTCTCCTGAAAGAAACATGAATGAGTTCTTAAAGTCATTTTAATTTGTTTCTTCAATTTTAGAAGCAGTTTACTAAATTTTCATTTGTTTCATTTGTTTTCTGGATAGCTCAGATATCTAAGGCTCTATTCCCTATAGATATCAAAACTAGTTTTCAATTTTTGAGTATAAAAACATAAAAAATCTTAACCACATAGTAAAAGCAATACCTTATTGTTTATCTGCTTGGGAGAAATAAACTAATGTTTAACCATTGACATGATAAGCTAAACATAAGCCCTAACCACTTAAGAATGAAGCAAAACAAAATTTTAACGCTTAATCATTCATACATCAACATTTGACAGTCATGAGCAAAGGTTTATATCAAAGCAATCTTGTACAGTTTTTTTAGGGGACCAGGCTATGCATATACGTGCCATACGAAATTCTGATCAGAATAAATCACAGTAAATTTTGTTTTTTAGATACAAAAAAAAAATTATTTCTCAACCAACCAATTGTGTGTAAAAGGTGATTAATAATTAATATGTTCAATTCAAATTTACTTGCAACATACCCCAATAGACCTTGTCTCCGTATTGATATAAGACCCATCTTTTTTCTTGTGAGTTGCAATGTATAGTTCACCTCGACCCACAACACGTCCAAGCTCTTGTTCCTAATAGAAATGACAATGTAACTCCAAATGAACAATATAAATAATTCTTTATTAAAGCTCAATAACTGAAGACAAATATTTACCATCTCATGTTGTTTCGTAGATAACAATTTTGCACCACCGGTACGTGGAATCATTTGCTTTTTTCTTACTTCAGTATTTTTTTTGCACAATTCCTATGAAAAAATAATTTATTTATTAAAACGTCAAGCTAAAAAAATAATTAATGATCATAAATATTTGTTAAAACTACCTGATAATTTGGCCTTAGATGATAGTCAACAAATGATGACCATTGATCTTTATGAATACCATTAGGAACTTTAGCAATTAACTGTTCTCTTATCAATGAAGGGTCATAAACACGGTTTCACATATTTATCTTTGCATTCCTATACTTTCTTGACATGGCAAGTGAACAATAATGCTTAGCAATCAATTCTGAAGCTTGAAAATGAAATAGATTCTTTAAACAAAAAGAAAAAACACGTTAGTATATCATAATTACAAAAAAAAAAAATGACCATCAAATTTGACTTAAGCATGTACCTTTAAAGTATTAAAGCAATCATTCTTATATGATTTTGAAACTTTTATCCAACTATCAAAGTTAATGGGAACATTTTTTGAATCAGTGGAAATACGCCCATAAACTCCTAAAAGAAGTGTCGCTGCTTCTCCATAGGCTCATTTTTGCCTATCAAATAGCACAATTATACGTTCACCACGTGGCTTCTCAAAACTACATTTAAAATTAAAAAGAAATTAGACCGTTACATTTTCATAATTTATTAGTAAGTAAAAAGAATCTCAATGTATTGATTATTAAAAAAATCAAAATTAATAAATAAATAAATAAAAACTTGATGTAAACAATACCGTAGAAAACATACTAAAATGTAAATAATTTGATTACTCTTTTATTAAAGTTCAGGATTAATTTGAGATAAATAAGTTATACTTAATTTATTATGTCTTGAGGTTGACATTATCACGTATTTTGGATTCATCGTATTATTATAAAAAAAATTATTTAACATTTGTTTTTATATTTTTAAAAATAATATTAACCGAAATTAAATTTTTTCTGTTGAACAATTGATTACGAAGGTGTTGTGATAGGAGAATAAACTTAAATGATGCATTTATCTTAAAATATATTTGGAAAGACGATATTTCAATTGTGATGTTATTCAATAAGTATTATTCTAAAGTAATTTTAGACCTCAGATGTATCAACTTATCAATTTTATTCATAAAAATGAAACATTTTTTTTATATTATGATAATTTTTTATCTTGAACATCGCACAGGTCCATTATGTAGTATAAATATAAAGAATAAAAAGTGAATATACTACATAATTAAAAGTTAGTATAAAGTTTGTAAATAAATAAATATGATAGAAATAAAAAAAATGGTTGAAAGAAAAATTAATTATCAACAAATTTGAGAAATATTTCATATTTACAAAATTTATCACCTAAAAAGAGTTATTTTAAGAGAAATGGAATAATTATTTTTGAAAAGTAGAAAAGTTTTACATAATGTAAAAAAAATATTATAAAATAAAAGTAAAATAATAATTATAAATATTAATTTTACTCTAATTTTTATTTAATTTCATTCTACTAAATAGTTACAAATTTTATTATATTTCACTTTATTTCTTATATATTTTTTTATCAAATCAATTCTTATCTATTATTTTTTATTCCCTTTTACTCGTTCCACTTTCCTAACAAAGCATAAGTGTCCGTTAAATTGTAACCGAAATGATAATGCACCGTGTGGTTGGACTATGAATTGCTATATATATAATAATATGGGGTTTATTACTTAATTATTCGATTTTTGTTAATTTTTTACGCAGCAAAAAAAATTCATCTCGAAATGTGTATAAAAGTGAGCTCGCATCCATGTTAATCCAGATTAATCCATATGAAATGAAAGATTCACAAATCTGCAATTAGCCTGCAAGACCTATTAGTATTGTTGTTTATTTTCATGCACTTTGTCACATTTCAAGCCATCCTTTTTTGTTTTCTTAACAAAATAAATAAATAAAAACTTTAACAACAACAATGTTAATATCGTAAATAAAATTAGGAAGAATTATTATTAAGATTGACATAGGTTGCCGAAGAAAACAAAGGATTACACGAAAGGTTATAATGTTTAGGGTTTGTTCAAAAGGTTAGGTTGGTTGAAGAAATCAGGTTTGTTCATGAGACCATTAATGGAAATGGCAATGTTGCACAGCTTACGAAGAACAGTGCTTTTAACGGAGAGAATGTCGTCATCTCCGGGAATAGAGGCATCGCAAGTGTCGATTGCAGCTAAAGCAGCCTTAAGCCAAACTTGAGCGTCAGTGTTAGAATTAACCAACAAGGCAGCAATGGTGTCCTCCAGCTGGCTTTCTGCATCCAAGATGGTTTCTTTGCAATCAGCCAAACCTTGTTGAATGTTAGGGTTAAGGCTGGCGTCATTGATGAGCCTTTTTGCATCGGTAAGCATGCCAGATGCGTTTTTGGCAGCAACCCTGAGGGATATGATTGCCAAATCTTTGAGGTCTGCATCAGGACTTCGGTTTGGGTCTGATGATAGAACATTCACACAAAGGTCCCTATTTGGGGAGATTGTGCATACCTTATTGATTAGCTCCTTTCCTTTTGTTTCTTGTGCATATGTCTGGTGTGCCAATGCTGTTGCGCAAAGAACCATAGCCAAGAAGAATTTTGTGATGTGTTCCATTATTTATGGAATTAAAGGTTTCTTCTTCTCACCTTTTGTTTGGTTTTCTGGATTGCACTGCCACGACAAATGTTATTGGAAAGACAATAAATTTATAATGGTGGAGGTTCATTTGTGTCCACTCAATTCGATTTGCTAAAACAAGATTTCTTTTACTGGTGATGCGATGAATGGGATAAATCGAATAGATATTCTGTTTGAATTTTTCATTTGTATCTTGTATGATTAATATTTTACGGACAAATATATATGTTTAAAAAATATAAGCATTCAAGAAAGGATTCTTTGGAAGAATATGATAATAAAAAATTATGAAGTTTAGTGGGCTTCTCTTCCCCCACTCCCTCCCGAATTTAGGGGGCTTGGCTCTCCTTCCACTCCTACTATTATTTTTTTTTAATTTGTTTAAATAAATTTTTAATTTTCAACATTAAAATAAATTTATTTTTATTCTTTAAATTTAAAAATATTAGTTATAATTCATGTAATTTTTTAAAAAAATATTTTAATTCTCTAGATCACCAATAATGTATATTAAAGTGATAGACTAAAATAATTATTTGAATTTAATATAATATTTTTATTAATAGATACATTTGTAAGTAAGTTTTATATAATAATATTTAACAGATTTTTTAATAAAATTTGAGTATAAAAATTAAACTAAAATTCTTTAAAATTATAGAACTAAAAAAATAAGTTTTAAATTCAAGATTAAAATTAATTAAATTTAAGAGGCTAAATATATATTTCATTTCTTTAATTTAACTATATTTAATAGTAATTAAGATTAGTTGTAGTCATAAGGGACGTTTAATATTTTCACTGAAGTTGCGGTACTAAATTCATTCTAGTTTTAAAAATTATTGGAGGTATGTTTGCAGATATAATAGTTTATAAGTTTATTTTGGGAATATTTTTATTTATTATTTTAAATATAATAATATTCTTTTATATTTAGATAATATCTTATTACTCCTTTTATAGTTTTATTATATAGATAATTACATTCTTTTTTCTTTTTCTTTTATACAAAACATTTGAGTATTATTATTTTATTTTATTATAGTTTTATTTTATAATTCATTATTGCTATTTTGAAAGTTGTAAACGACTTCATTAGCCTTTTCTTTTATATTAATTTGATTATAATTTATTTAAAAATTAAAGACTATTTATTAAGTTTTGTCAATGAGACAAGCTTACGAGAGGCTATGGTTGATAAAACTTGTATGTAAGTCATTTTTTTTAATAATTTTTTTTATCAAAGACTATTTATTATTTTTTGCCAATAATATAAGGGATTGACACATTAAGTTTTGCTACAGGCTACATGCCGATAAATGTTCTGTTTTTTTTTTTTTTTTATTTGTTTTCCTAGATATTGGTTGAAACTCAGCGTGTAGATTCTTTAACGTAAATTAGTAAAAATATTTTTAACTTCAAGCGTGTGGTTTAGTGGTAGGGGTTGATTTACGCCTTAAGCAAGGCCAGAAGTTCGAATCCTGCCTTATATATGTAGCCGTATTAAATCTTGAGGCCAGCTATCCTACCCTTTGAAGAACGAACCAAAAAAAAAAAAAAATTAGTAAAGTATTTTTTTAGCCTTATATGATGCCGTGCGTTACCTTAACAATTTTTATTTTATTTTTGTAAAAAAAAAAAGATTAGTAAAAACATTTAGCAGAGTAATAAGGTAATTGATTCAAATAATAACACTTAAACTAACTATATTAAATCTATTGTGCACCTTTAACCGCAGCATTATTTTATCACAACAAGTTATAGTGAAACGAGTTATATGAATAATTAAAAAATATTAAATAATATAAAAGTACTTGAAAATTATAAAAGTATAATAAAATAATGATAATATAGTTAACACTAATAAAATATAAAAATAATATTAATATTAAACTATAAATATTAAAAATATTAAAAATAATAATAATAAAGATGATAGGAACAACACTATTTAAATACAAAAATTAAAAGAGAATGTGATACTATGAATATTACAATAAATGGAAATAAATAATTATTATACATAAAAAATATTATCATATTAAAATTAATATTAGTAAATATAATATAAAAATAAATGAAAGTAAAATAATACTAACATTATTATAACTAGTTAAAATGATTATTATTTTACATAATAAAATAATATTATCATTTTAAGATAATATTAAAAATAGTGTAAACAATATTAATAAATTATAAAAATAGAATTAAAATACAATAATCTTTAAAAAAATTACAACATTATTAATATAATTATCTATAATAAAATAAAACAAAAAAAAACATAAAAAAGAAAATAAGGATGAAAAATCACACATAATAACAAGTTGTTATTTTAATAATAAAAAATAAAAATAATATTATAAAATTTTAAATTTAACAATTAAAATACAAAAGCTAAATTTAATTTTAATTTGATTCATCAATTTTTGTCGATTTACAATTTTAATCCCTCTATTTTAAAATAAAAATATTTAATTTCTCTATTTTTACAAATAGAAAATTTTGGTTCTACAATGTTTTTTTTATTGTTAAGTAACTTTGTATTTAATGACATAATCTATAAGGATAAAAATTTAAAAATAACGTACAAAATATTAATAGAAAGTGTTAAGTATTATTCATAATATAAGATTATATATATATTTAATCAAAAAATAGATAAAAAAAAACACTAGTAATGAATATAATATAAATAAAAATATATAATAAATATAATATTATAATTTCAAAGAGAAATAACTATGGTAATAAAAAAAATTTGAAAGATTATAAATATAATTTTGATGAACTATTCGATAAAGATGATAAATATTTTATATCTATATGATTATCTGAAAGAAATCATACACATTTTCCACAAGAAGAAAAATTCTCATAGTACAAAATATAAAATAGTGAACCATATATATTTAGGATTGAAATTTAAATCATATTATATTCAACTAAAATGCTATTGGCTTAATAATCAAGATTATTAAAACCCCTCAAATTTATGAGGCAGCACAGAAGAATTTTTCTTTACCTTTTTATCATTGAGAAAAAGAATTTTTTTCCTTTACTTGTAGCATTTTAAAATTGGAGAATTTCACTATTTTCATTTTTGTTAATTTACTAGGTAAACAAAAAAACCTCATCCCCAAATAGGTATGGAGGTGAGCTCGCATCTAATAGAATTTCTCGCAAATTGAAAAAGACAAGACATAGACTAAGGAAATGATAGAGATAATGTCGAACAAAAGTTTCAAAATGCTAAATGAAGCATTCAAATAGCTGATTTTAGCCTGCAAGACATATCATTTATCGTTGTTTGCTTTCTCATGCCCTTTGTCGCACTACAAGCCCTCCTTTTTGTTTGTAACAAAATACACAAAAAGGAAATTAAACAAAAAAACAAAAAAAAAAACTCTTACAACATTGCTAATGTCGTAAATAAAATATAAAAAAAATTAAATTAAGATTGACACAAGTTGCCAAAGAAAACACGTTACATGAAAGGATAGAATTTTAAAGGTTTGTTCAAGAGAGTAGGTTTGTTCAAAAGGCCAGGTTTGTTCAAGAGACCATTAATGGCGATGGCGATGTTGCACAACTTACGGAGGACAATGCTCTTAACAGAGAGAATGTCATCATCTCCAGGGATGGAGGCGTCACAAGTGTCGATTGCGGCTAAAGCAGCCCTCAACCAAACTTGAGCGTCGGAGTTAGAATCAACCAACAAGGCAGCGATGGTGTCCTCAAGCTGGCTCTCTGCGTCCAAGATTGTCTCCTTGCAATCAGCTAAACCTTGTTGAATGTCAGGGTTAAGGTTAGCATTATTGATAAGCCTTTTGGCGTCGGTAAGCATGCCAGATGCGTTTTTGGCAGCAACCCTAAGAGATATGATTGCCAAGTCTTTGAGGTCTGCATCGGGGCTTCGGCTAGGGTCTGATGATAAAACATCCACACAAAGGTTCCTATTTGGGGCAGTTGTGCATACCTTTTGGATTAGTTCCTTTCCTCTTGTTTCTTGGGCAGTTGTTTGGTGTAACAATACAATCGCGCATAAAACCAACACTGAGAAGAGTTTTGTGGTGAGTTCCATTTTTATTATTTTTTGGAACGGGAATAGATTTTTTTCCTCTTCTCGGGTTTAGGGTTGGTTTTCTAGATTGTACAGTCACGACGAAATGTTACAGGATGGTCAGGAAATTTATAGTAGAAAAGATGCACTTGTGTCCATTCCATTCGTTTTTCTAAAATAGTGGTTATTTCTATTTTTGGAACACTTAATTTTAGGATGATATCGTTGGTTCACCAAAAAAAAATGTGCAACTAACTGTATTTTGTGTTTCTGGGGTTGACACTCCTTTTGCACTTATTTCCTTTATTTTCGTTTTGAACTTTTCAATCAAACTCTACTACTTTTAGATCACAATCTTTTGGTCACATCTAAATTCTCTCGCTCACTATAATTAGTGAAGACAAAGGAGGAATAAAAAAAAATAACAACATGTTTACTATACATGATGACGTGATTTTTTAAGTTCAAAGTAAAGCTACAAAAGGTAACTTTCTCATTAACAATGTGATTTTATTGTTAAATGTAGGCACAACTAAATACGTACTAATAAGACTTTTTATTGTATTATATTAGTTTTTTAATATGTATAATTTCCTCATTTTTTAATTTAGTATTCAAAGGTTTCAATTTCCCACTTAAGCTCTTCTCATATGCTTCACTAACACACTATCATAATGTAAAGTTCCTTTATTTTTTTCACTTCCTCCTTTTTATTGGCTTCTCTTGCGCCTAAGGCCCTCCTCCTTATTTGTTTGTCTCGATATTTCTTCCTCATTTCATGCTTGTTTACCTCCTTGATCATGTTACTTCTTTATTAATAGCCCTTTAACGATTTTCTATTTAAAGAGAGAAAATTGATTAATTTTTTCCTAATCATATTTTTTCTTCTTCTTTATCTTCCAAATCTTTTATGTTTGTAAATATATGACATTAATTTTATGGATTTTTTTCTAAAGAGTTTCCATGCTATAAAATCAAATTCATAGACAAGAGAAATTTTTCTTTAACAAGTAAATATTTCTTGGAAAATTTTAAAGATTTTGAATTTAAAGTGAGCTATGTTTAAAATGAGTATAATTGAATCAATTTAAATAGCTTTAGAGACAATATTTTTATAAATAAAAAAAATTTGATTGCCACAATTCTGTCTACCTCTAGAAGAATAAAAAGTTAGTTAAAATTATAATGAACATAAATATTCTTTATATTTTGGTTATTTTACACAATTTCTTCATATTCTTTTAAATTGGTTACAATGAAAACATAAATAACAATATACATCAATCATTGTTAAAAATCTATTGACAACATCCATCTTGAGGTTCATTAGTCATTTCACTTTTTCATTTTTTTTTATTTATTTTTTAGTGTTAATTTATTTTTGTTTTAATTTTATTGTGATTTAAGTTATGTCGTTAGAAGAGTAACTATTATTATATTTAATTGTGATTCTTGATATTTTCATAAAACTATGACAAGTGTGATAATTTTATATCATTATTATTAATAATAACAATAATTATAGATGTTGTAGTATTTACATTATTTTTTTCATGTAATTAATTTATAAGAAATTCTCTAATAAAATTTTCCTTCTCAAATCATAAGGAGTATAAATGCTCAGATAAAAGAAGTAATATGATGATATCAGAGTATCAAGTGTTCTTTTTAGTAAATACACTAAAAAGTATTATAATCACTTTATTAGGAAGAAAATACTAAAAGATTTAACTAATAATAAATTGAATGTGTAAAGTACGTATTTAAAAAATTATACTAAAGTAAAATAAGTATTAAATTAATTATATTAATTTTATTTAAAAAATTCATAATTGTTGTTTAATAAAAAAATAATGAGATTAATTTATGTTGATGAAATAAAATAAAATTTTAAATTATAATATTATTTTTTTTAAGAAATTATAATATTGCTTTAACTATAGTTTTCTATATATATATATGTTTATATGATAATTATTATAAAAAAAAAGTTAAATATTATATTATACAAATTATGAAAATAATTTATACATCACAAAAAATTGATATTTATTGACTGTCACTGATTATTATTTAAAGAAAATAATTATACAAAAACATTTTGATAAAATTCGTCATTAAAAAATCTTAGATTTGATGATCTGATTATGCATACGAAAATATTAAAATTAAATCTCACTGCACTCCTAATGAACCTTATAAGAGAAGGTTACATTTATCTGGCAAGTATAATTCGTCAAATATTATAATTTTACAATTATAAATGTTTTAAAAGTATAAAATTATTGATCTATTTAAAATATATATACTACAATCTTTATTTATATGTCAAATGATATATATTTATTATTATTAATAAATAATATTAATAAAAAATATCAATAATATTAATATTAATAATTTCATAAATATAAATTAGTATATATTAATATACTTGTTAACATATTGGATAAAATAAATATATTAAAAAAATTAATTAGATGAAATATCGATTCATCATAATTAGTGTCACATAAAAATTTTATTAGATTTTTATTTGGAGTGACTAAAAAATCGTATAATTATAATATTTGAAAATTTAAAATTATTTAATTTAAAATTAAGAAACTAAAATTATACAATTGTGATATTTAAAAAATTAAAATTATTTAATTAAAATTTAGAGAAATAAAATCATACATATCCTCTGAAATTGATTGAAAATACAATCGAAAAGCTTATTACTTCATTTTATTTAAGGAGAAAAACTTTATAAAAAATTCATTTTCACATCGAAAAAGATAATCACTACTCCTACATATCCTCTGATGTAATGAAGAATTCAGAATCATGTAGCTCTCTATAAAATATTGGTGTGATGATCTTTATTTTATTAAATTTCATTAAAGTTATTGTTTAATTTGGGATTTTTCAATTGTTAAAACTCACGTTTCAAAAAAAAAATCAACAAAGGTATACACTATACACCCATACCAGTTCATTTAAAGTAGTTTAATATTTTTTTAAATGTTTTAGAGAGAAGTTTTGAAACCATCAGGCGTAGCCGGTATTTCAAATGCCTAAAATTAAAAATATGTCGCATCTAAATAATCCGCTTGCTACGAAAATGAATTATGAAATAGATTACGAATCTAAACTTTGAAATCATGTTAAGATATTTTATAATCTAGAGAAAAGTTTTGGAAGTTAGTATTTGACAGGGTAGATTGCACCCTTTGCATCAAGAAGGCACTAAAACCCATCTACATCAATAGTTGCACGTGGAGACACCATGCTATCATATTTTGAGGTCTTTAGAGACAATGGTACGTGACGGGATGAGTAAGCCACGAATACACAACTGTTATTGTTCTTAATCTATTTATTATTTGCGATAGATTTTTACTGCTGCCCGCATGTATTAGTTTACTATTTGGGCTACTATACTTTTAAGCAGCGTACTTGGCAAATCGTTTTCAATTTAGTGGTGTCAATGTTTAATAAAAATGTGGGAAACAAAGCAAGTGATTTTTTTTTCTTCTTTGGTTTTACAATTATATATATCTAGAAAATCCTAACACCCTAACATTATAATAACAACCATTTTCAAATACGAATTTAGGCCATTTTAAATTCAACTAAAATGCTATTGGCATAATAATCAAGAGTCCTAAAACCCCTCAAATTTATGAGGGTATAGTAAAATTTTATTTACTTAATTGTAAACAAAATGATAATATATCTTGTGAATGGACATATGACTTGCCGATATATTAATATGTGACATTTTAAAACGGGAGAATTTCACTATTTTATTATTGTTAATTTACTAGACACAACCCAAAAAATAAACTTATCCCAAAATATGTATCGAAGGTGAGTTCACATTCAGGCTGGTCCAAGCAAAATATATTTTTTTTACTTATAGAACTTAATGAAATAGTTGTATCAGTGTACTAATTTTGATTTGTTAACCATTGCCTAAGCCTAACATTGTAAAGCCTGAAATTCAATCTTAGTATTATAACTTTTTTTGCTGAAAGTTCCTTTTTTTATAAATGACTATTGATTTTCTTGTCACTCTCTCATCTTAAAAAAAATTAATTTCAAAATTCGTTTTAGGCATAAAAATATGTTAGGTCGGCCATACTTGCATCTAATAAAATTTCTCGCAAATTAAAAAGGAGAAGACAAAGACTAAGGAAATGATGGAGATAAGCCAGATTAATCAAAAATATCAAAATGCTAAATGAAGGATTCACATAGCTACAAATTAGCCTGCAAGACCTATCATTATCATTGTTTGTTTTCTCATATGCTCTTTGTCACATTGCAAAGCCCTCCTTTTTCTTCGTAAAGAAATACACAAAGGAAAACAAAAAAGAAAACAATACGTTGTAGGAAAGGTTTAGAATTTTAAGGGTTTGTTCAAGAGAGTAGGTTTGTTCAAAAGGCCAGGTCTGTTCAATAGACCATTAATGGCGATGGCGATGTTGCACAACTTACGAAGGACAATGCTCTTAACAGAGAGAATGTCATCATCTCCGGGGATGGAGGCGTCACAAGTGTCGATTGCGGCTAAAGCAGCCCTCAACCAAACTTGAGCGTCGGAGTTAGAATCAACCAACAAGGCAGCGATGGTGTCCTCAAGCTGGCTCTCTGCGTCCAAGATTGTCTCCTTGCAATCAGCTAAACCTTGTTGAATGTCAGGGTTAAGGTTAGCATTATTGATAAGCCTTTTGGCGTCGGTAAGCATGCCAGATGCGTTTTTGGCAGCAACCCTAAGAGATATGATTGCCAAGTCTTTGAGGTCTGCATCGGGGCTTCGGCTAGGGTCTGATGATAAAACATCCACACAAAGGTCCCTATTTGGGGCAGTTGTGCATACCTTTTGGATTAGTTCCTTTCCTCTTGTTTCTTGGGCAGTTGTTTGGTGTAACAATACAATCGCGCAGAAAACCAACACCGCGAAGAGTTTAGTGATGCGTTCCATTTTTATTATTTTTTTGGAACGAAAAAAGGTATTTTTCCTCTTCTCGGATTTTGGTTGGTTTTCTAGATTGCACTGCCACGACGAAATGTTACAGGATGGGTATGAGATTTATAGTGGGAGAGAAGCGTTTATGTCCATTCCATTCGTTTTCCTAAAATAATGGTGATTTTTATTTTTGAAACGCTTAATTTTAGGATGATATAGTCGTTCTACCCAAAAAAAGATGTGCAACTAACTGTATTTTGTGTTTATGAGAGTTGATACTGCTTTTACACCTTTGTTTTTCTATTTTTGTTTTGAACTTTTCCGTCAAACTCTATTTTTAGATTACAAATCTTGTGGTTACTTCCATTCGCTCACTATAATTGGTGACGACAAAGAAAAAAATAAAAGAATGATAAGGTTTATTACTATAATATGTATGCATAATTTTCTCGATTTTCAATTTAGTAGTCACTAAGAGTATATTAGTACACCATAATATCACGTCAAAATCACACATTAGTCAGTTCCAAAGGTTTCAATTTCCCACTCAAGCTCTTCTCATATGCTTTTCACTAGCTATCACACAATCATAATAAAAACTTTATTTTTTCACTTCCTCCTTTTTATTGGTTTCTACTTGCTCCTAGGCCCTTCGTCCTTATTTTATTTTTGTCTCGATATTTCTTCCTCCTCTCATGTTTTTTTACCTCCTTAACCATGTTCCTTCTTTATTAATAGTCTAGGTATTAACTTTTATATATTAACTTTTATATATTAAACACAAATTTCTATTATGTGTGAGAGTATTCTTTAATGAAGGGGTTTATAAAGATTTTTTGAACTTATTTAATTTGGTTATTAATTATTTATGATAATTATTCTTGAATAAAATATTAATAGTTTAAATAAATTATAGTAAAATATTTTTGTGTTATAATATAAATTATTTCACATAAATTTAAAATATTATTTATATGTTTAAAAATATCTAACCAATATTTATACAAATTTTACATATAATTTATATTTTTAAACATAATACTTATTTATATTTAATTTATTATAAATTTTAATTATATATAATAAGCATGTCTATGAATTATACATATTAAAATACTAGTTATATTGTAATAACATGGTGAGAGGATATCGCGAGATGTGAACAAAATTGATATAAATTTATGGCACCATCACGATTATTATTTAAAGAAAATAATTTATAAAAAAAATAATTTGAGGTTATTGAAAAGATCTCTAGTTCGATAGTCTAATTATGCATAAAGAAAAATGAATACTAAATTTCACTAGACTCTTAATATACCCATTATATTAAAAAAAAAATGTAAAACATCAAGGAATTGTAAATATTTATTTACCCTTTTTAACTTGCAAATATATATGACATGGAAATAAGTATTATTATTTCGTGAAATAAATAGAAAATACTGATGAAAAACTTATTATTTATTTTCTGCTTAGGGGAGTAAACTTGTTGAAAATTTAATTTTGATATCGACAGAATAATCCTTGCTCTTATGTATTTTTTGTGTAATAAGGAACTGAAAATCACATAGTTTGTTATCTATAAAATATTAATGTGTTGATGTTTTGTTTTATTAAATTTCATTAAACTTGTTTAATTTAGGATTTTAAACTATATTAGCTCATCTCGGAAGGAACACTTTTATTATCTATGAAATAATTTTTAATTTTTTTAAAAGTAATTTTTAGGTTTAATAATGTTTTTGATCCCTCAAGTATTGCAATTGTGAAATTTTGATCCACAAGATTTTAATTGAGTAATTTTACTCCTTAAAAGATTGTAATCGTACGATTTTAGTTTATCAATTTTTAATTGAACAATTTTAGTCCTCAAATATCATAATTGTGCAATTTTAGCCTTTTTCAATAAAAATTTAATAATGTTAAAATTTTAATATATACATAATGTTTTAAAATTATATAATTGTTTGCTTATTTAAGTTAATGTATATTATAATTTTTGTTAATATATCAAATGATATATATTTATTATTACTAAATAAATAAAATTTATATATTATTATTATTTTAATATTATGGATACATTAATATCAACAATATTTTTAGTATATTTATTGATAAACTAATAATTTG